ATTCTTCATTATTCTTTCATTTTGATTACAACAGTGCTTTTATAGAGCAATTACAAAATCTCTCAAAAGCAATTAGATTCAAATCACTTAGATACTAAAAACTAATTAACTACTAAACTTGACCCAAAATTCAAAATTCAAAATTTAAAAATTAAAATCCTACCAAAATAGAAAAATCCCTCAAATTTCTCACAATTAAAACTAAATTAAGATTTGATCAAACTTGCCAAATCTTTCTTATTCAAAACTAAAATAAAAGAAAGTCAAATAACAAATATAGATTTGATCAAACTTGCCAAATCTTTCTTATTCAAAACTAAAATAAAAGAAAGTCAAATAACAAATATAGAAATTACCATTACTGTCCTCATAATTCTCCCCGGGTGAGAGAAAACTCGACTCTGTCGAGTTAGTTGCAGAAATTTGTCATCTTCAATATACTCTGTCTGCATCTTAATCTACCGTTAGTTACTTTCCTGCATCTTAAATCATTAGCTAGATTGCATTGTAAATTCACCATGTAAAATATTATCAAAATTCACTGCTGTATGGGTGAATATATAGAAGTGAGGTAAAGTGAAAGAACTCTCAGAAACAATAGGCTAGGGTCAGGCTTATATCAGTGGATTGTCAATAAACATTGTGAACTGCTTAATCAATCAATATTGAGAATAGAACTATGACCAAATCGATAATATAAATGTTCCTATTAATTATTTCAAGAGTTGGAAAAGTTCATAAATATCATGTCAAATCTCAAACAACTATAAAAGAAACTGTATTGGATAAGTCCAAATCATCTCAAACATTAACAGTTTTAAATTATGTTCTGACTCCATATCATACATTTCAGTTAACGAGGTAGTTATTCAAATTAGATCACTGATTATCTAATATATGATCAATGCAAATCAAAATAAAATGATGCAAATCAACTCAAATGGCTATGTATGACATGCAAACTCGAACAATGCGATCAATGGCAGATGTAAACTCAACGAAGTATCTAACATGCATGATGTCTTCTATCAAATGGAATAATTAGGTGTTCCTTCATTAATATGCATAACAAATTTCCTGTTCTAACAGTGATAGTGAGGAACATGCAAACAAATGTATGAAAGAGGAGTTTTTTTGTGTGCTTATGATAAGAGAGAAAGGAAATACTCTGCAAGGTATGCGGTTCATCTAAAATGTCAAGCTTAGGTCGAATATCAATGAAAACACTCGTGCTCAAAGTTGTATCCTTAATCACTATATATTCCCAAAATGGATCAGTGTAAGTGTGAGTGACTGTCGGGACAATGCATGGTGGTTTGATATCTAATATGGGAGTTATTTTACTATGCTCAGTTTGGGATTCAACTTCCATACAGACATCTGAGTGAACGTGTTGGGTGTCATGTATAGATTCATGTTTGTCTGGGAGGACTTCGTAGGGAACATCAACAACGTTTTCAATCACTGGAGTGAGTTCAGGAGGAGTTGGAGTTTAAATTTCAGGAACAACTTCAGATACAGCATCAGTGAACTCCGTGATCAAATGGGTAGTTTTGGGAATAATCGGAGCATCGTTGTTGCATGAAACTTCAGTCAATTCCATAATTGTAGGGGTAGTTTCAAAAGAAACGGAAGTGCATGGGTTTTTAATTTTACTTTCCCGGATTTTCTTGTTAGAGTTAGATTTTGTCAAATCTATGGCTTGGTTAACGATTTCCTTAAGAATAGAATTTGATTTCGTTATAGGCGGCTTATTAATTTTTACTGGAGTGAGGTATTTCTTTTTTAGCTCATCGGCCATTTCTCGCCAAGTTAAAATTGGTAACCCCCCTCTAATATACTTTAACATTTCGAGGTGGGACCAATATTGGCAGGCTGGTCCGATAAGCTTTATTTGCTGCAAACTTGACTTTCCACGGTTCCGTCAAGACGTACCAATCGAAGTAGCGATTCATATTCTTCAGCCAGTCCAAGAAAGCTTGTGGGTCGAGCTTACCATCAAAAGTTGATGGATCAGGCATAGGTTGAGGGTGGGGGTAGATGAACGAGGTGCCTATGACCTTGACCTCACGGAGGCGGAGTTGCAACACGCGCTTCTTCTAGCCTAGCAAGCCTCTCGTTGGTTACGTTTTAGATGTCTGTCAGGACCTCACGGGTAGCTCTACACTCCTGGACTATGGCACCTATTTGTCCTACTAGCTCATCGAATCTCTTAAGGAGTATGGGATCTATACTGCCTGACATGCTGGACTTACTAGACGATTCACTAGACTCTTCTAATCGATAGGGTAGACCTGTGCAAGTGGGTGTGCACTAACTAAATGAGATGAATGATATGCACTAACAACTAAATGAGATAAATGATAATAATAATAATTTTTTTATCAAATAAAAGACTTAATTAAACTAATCTAAAAATTTCCTAACTTAGAACCACGCTCTGATATCAAAAATGATGTAACACGGGACATAAGGTCTATCAGAATCAACGATTTAAATCGAATAATGCATCGTTTCACCAAATTTCATGATCTTTGGCAGAAAATTAAATTTAAAACAACTAATGTAACATATGGATTTAACAAAATTTGCATCAATAGTTATGATTAATTCCAATCTCAATCAATTAAGCTGCAATATTCATTATCATACCCAAGTTCTACAATCAATATCAAATTTAAACAGTCAAATGCTCAATTACTCTCAACTCACAAATATAATCTAAGCAGTGAATATATGATAAGAGTTTAGAGGTAGAATACTCATGCAGTTAACTAATAAAACGAGATTAATAAAAAATAATTTACTGGGCTATCAAGTGGTGATGGTTGACGGATGAACTGGCGACGACAACGATGTCGAACTAGCGAAGACGACATCGGCGAACTGAATGACGACGAGGTCGACGGGGCGAGGGCGATGTGATGACCCGTGGGTAGGTAGCTATGGAGGAGGAGGAGACCAGGGTCGGTTGTTGTTCGGAAGAGGGAATGACACAGGCGGTGAGCTGGTGGTTTTGCGGTTGATGTAGAGGTGGCAGGGAGGCGGGGTTGGGTGTCGGTGTTGCTCGAGGATGGAGGGGAACAGGGGAAGGAGACGCGACTTGTGGAAGTGCTGGTAGGGCTGCTCGGTGGGAAGGAGGGTAGGGAAGGGAATGTCAGTGGCTTGTGGAGCAAGGGACGGCGACTTTGTTGAAGGATGCAGGGGGTTTTGGCGGGCTGTTTGTAGGTGGAGAAGCAGGGAGGAGCGGCGGCTGTGTGAGATGGAGTTGGGGACAACAAGTGGAGGAGGTGAAGGGCTGGGCACGGCTGCTTGGGGAGGAGAAGAATAGGGCTGTTTGGAGGAGAGAAGTCGGATAGCGTGAGGAGGAGGTTGTCGGCTATGAAGAGGAGATTGGCGACTGTGAAGAGGAGAAGAAAATTCGGCCTAGGGTTTCACACCCGAGGCTTCACACCAACATTCGGCTTAACACAAAATTAGCTAACAAAATATTTCATTCAATTCTTCGTTATTCTTTTATTCTGATTACAACAGTGCTTTTATAGAGCAATTACAAAATCTCTCAAAATCAATTAGATTCCTCAACTCACTCAGATACTAAAAACTGATTAACTACTAAACTTGACCCAAAATCCAAAATAGAAAAATCCCTCAAATTTCTCACAATTAAAACTAAATTAAGATCTGATCAAACTTGCCAAATCTTTCTTATTCAAAACTAAAATAAAAGAAAGTCAAATAACAAATATGAAAATTGTCATTATTGTCCTCATAAATCTCGTTGTGGAAGAAATACTAGACTTGTTTAAGAATTGTGCAATAACAACAAAGAAATTTATAATGATATTCGATCTTGAGAATAATCTCACTATGGAAAGCACCCTCAAGTTTAATGCAGTTGACATTATTTCTCTCCATTCTGCTGAAACTCTAAATTGAAGCTCCCGTGATTATTAAATTTAGGTGTTAGTGAAAATCAACAATTTAAAGGTTCCATTCTCCATCATTATTGTATTTGTACCTTAACCATCTCAACTCCAAAAATGTTGTTTGTGTGGCTAGGAGGCCATTCTGCATTGGGGTGGGATGATACTAGATTAAGTATCAAGATTAGTAAGGCTGATTTTGATTTTCTTTTTCGTTAGATTGTTGAATATAAATGAGCTCACATACTAAATAAGTTGGCCCTCTGCGTATGATTTCTATCCAATGATTTTTATCCTGAAATTAGATTAATTAGAGAAGTTGCAACATTTTGTGATGGGAAATGCACATATGTCTGCGTACCATGCTCACACAAAAGCTTATTATTATTATTATTATTTTGTTTAAATGATTAAAGATTCCAGAGCTGCATGAATAGCCAGCACTAGATCCTAGGAAGGGCAACACTGGGTTTTAACCTGAATAAAAGAAAACCTTTGTAATACGAATACATAGCAAACTGTTCCACAGAAAATATATGAGATATCCACTATTTTAAAGGACCACACATTATTACAGATATTAATGCTGATATAATAAGGCTAACTCCATCACCTCCTAACTCTCGACCTCTAACAGGAGTCACCCTAAACAAATTTAAACCACAGAAAACATGGGTTTTCTCGAAAAGTAAGCAAATTGCACTAAATTAGAGATACATCAATGCATATGAAATAAAAAAAAACAGAGTGAACATAAATCTCAGTATGTGCTATCAGCTTCCAATTTTATGTACTTGTAAATTCTACGGGCTACTCTGTAATAGATGCAAAATCACAAATACAGTCTTTTTAAAATCTCCGAACAGTTGATCTCAAATCCCTTGCTAAGTAATTACACTACTAACCAAAGACTTCAACACCTTCCGAAATTGTGATAAGAGACCGTTTTATGACGAATGAAGTATGATTCTGTATGTTTGTATCTTGTAGTACAAAAGCAATATGAGGTGCACACTATAATTAGCATGACATTTCATTATCTTGGAACTGACTCCATGTCCTATATCTAGGCTGGGACAGAGGGCTTCTTGGTATGTGCCTAGGTGAAAAGAGAAGATTAAAGATACCTGCAGATCTTGGTTATGGGAAACGTGGAGCTCCTCCTAAAATTCCTGGTAAAGAGATTGAACTCCTACAAAATGCTTGGCTTAAAGTTCTGTATTGGATATCGGCTTAGGTTATCTTTTGCGGGATTAAACGATAACATGCATCACCTAGTAAATCTTGAGTGATCATCTAATAACATCTATATGGTAATGGACAGGTGGAGCAACGCTAATCTTCGATGCCGAGCTTGTATCTATCAATGGCAAAACTGTGGATGAGCAGTGAACAACCAAAAGGAAGTTGATGGCAAAACTCTTGTTCAGTGCTTCCAGCAGGTGACTTTGTTGAGTTCTGTCAGTTGTTAACATTTACATTTGTAGGTTTTGATTGTTTGTCAGAGCTATGAAATAAGGAGGACGTGGTTTAACTTTGTAAATGTTTTGGGAGAATTGGGCCTCTTTGGTTCCATGGGAACATAAATTCTTTAACATTTTTTTTAAAATTTGTTCTGAAATATATATCTTTCATGTTGTGATTTCTAACAATTTTTTGGTAATAATGCTTTTAGAAGTTGCTTAATATGTACAATATAAAGGCATTTTTGTTTTAGTTCTTTTTTTCCAGCTGCACTTGTACAAGGAATTAGTCTCTACAAAAAAAGATCAAATTGACTGTTTTTGGAAATACTAACTCATCTTCTGTAATCGTTAATATAAAAAACATACAGTTAACAAAGGACAACTAATAAAGTTCTACATAGAAACATGGTTTCATAAGCAACAGCTTTCTACTCATACTGAATCAAAACATATTGACAAAGTACCATCCCTTTATTCAGCTCATGAAGCTGGTTTTATAGGAAAAGAAATTATATATTAAAAACCTTGAAATTAGTCCTTGATATTTGGCAATAATCTTCTATATAACCCCAAAACAACTTATTAAATTTCAGATGCATGCGCGTTTGAGCGCGCGCACACACACACATATATATATATATATATATATATATATATATATATATATATATTTAGCTAGGGCTAGGCTTAATTAGGCTAGGAGTTGGAGTTAATTAGGCTTCATCAGGCGTAATTATCATTGGATTTGGATTTTGATCATATATGTTCTTATTGTATATGCCAGGATCTTTGATGTACATATAGGAAGGTTATGGGTTTGCTTTTGCTCACATGTTTCAGGATGCAGTTTTTATATTTTCTCTGTTTTATACATTCATAGCTCTGCTTTTAACTTTTCTCGGCGCATTTATCATACTCCCTTTAAAAGCACGAGTTCGGAAAATCTTTTTTAGACAAATATACCCCTTTATAGTTTGAACTACCTTATCTATAATCAAATTCTAATTTTCAATGGTCAATATTACCCTTCACTATTTTGAATATTTTATTTATATCTTAATCTATCCTAATCATAATCATATCTTATCCTAATCCTATGTGAACCATGTTTAGCTTAACAATTTAAAAAAATTAATATTAATAAAATATATAAAACATAAAAATGATATTAGTTTGTTAAGATAAAGAAATTACAAGTAGATAACATATTATAATACATGAAGTATTGTAAAAAAACCATAAAAAGTTTTAAAAGTGCAGAAAAGACCCTGAAAAGTTCAAAATTATAAAAATCATCCTAATGTCTCAAAACTTAAAATAAAAAACATGAAATTAAAAAATTAACATCAGTTTGCAAAGAATTTAAAATTTACAGTTAACACCTCAATGTCTCAAAAATTATAGAAACACCCTCAAAAGTTTAAATTACAGACAAGCACATTAAAATTCTAAAATTTTAAAACTTACAAACAACACAAATGAATTCAAGAGATTACCATGAGACACCTAAAATTTTTGACATTTTAAAACTTAAAATAACAAATATAAAATTAAAAAAAATAATAGCAGCCTCTGAAGAATTTAACTTTTTTAATTAACACCCTCAATATCTCAAAAATTATAGAAACACCTTCAAAAGTTCAAATTATAAAAAGCCACCCTAAAATTCTAAAATTTGTAAATAAAATAAGATGAATTCAAGATATTACCCTTAGACACCTAAAAAGTTAAAATTTGTCAAAATTAACCTCAAAAATTTTAAAAAACTCCTTCAAAATTTAAAAATCGTAAAAAAAACTCTAAATTTTCAAAATTTTTAACTAGCACACATCAAATTCGTCGATTGGTAGACCGCTGAAATTTAATATTTTTTAAAATTAATCTATAGTTTTAATAATTGTAAAAGACACCCTTAAAATTTTAGAGTTACAAGAAATATACTAACATTTAAAAAATTACCACCAACACATGAAACATAGAATTTACAACTATCAAACTTAAAAGTAAATTTTTTAAAAAACTCTTTCAAAAATTTTAAAAATTACAAATCACACCCTCAAAGTTCAAAACCACAAAAATGGGCTAAAATTTTAAAACTTGGCAAAGAAAAGTGTAATTGTTTGGTATTTTTCATATATATATATATATATATATATATATATATATATATATATATATATATATATATATATATATATATATATATATATATATATATATATATATATATATATATATATATATATATATATATATATATATATATATTAAAATTTCTAATTTAGGGATTTACTATCCATTTTCAGCATCTAAGAATAGTCTAAGTTGATACTGGTAAACAAAAACAATAAGAATTGATTAAAAACATTCGGTTAATGGATAAAATTTTCAAAAATATTATTGATTAAAAATTATCGGCACTATATAAATTAAAGTAATTTCATATAATTTTAGTAATAAGTTGGGGTAGCCAAAATACATTCGTAACATTAATTGATAGATGTTTAAATCCATAGAAATGATAAAACACTATAATATTATACCTTAGCATTAATTGATTTTAATTTAGAAACTTTAATCTTTGACGTTAATAATATTTATAGGGTAAAAGAATACAAGGAATTACATATGGAGAAACTATTAGAATATTTAGAGATAACTTTAAAAGAATTGAGTTATTTCCATTGCAAATGGGAAAGTGATGGAAATAAATCTAAAATTCAGAAAACGTCAATGAATCACTTGAATTGGCATTAACATAAGACATATCTATTAATGAAGCACTGAATGAGTTACATTAAAAAATAATTTAATAACTTTATCCTAATCAAAGAAAAAATCTCCATGGAAGACATAAGAAAAATTAGTAAGTATTCATAAATTCCATACTGTGTTCTTCAAATTAAATATTAATATTATAATCTAAGAGAAATTGGTAATGAATAATGCATGTATTTAGTTTAGATCTTTATGGAAAATGACAGGGATAGAGCAAAGGTAATATTATTGAAATAACAGAAATTCTTATTGGATGCACATCAGAAGAATTCATTTTAGAGGAAAATAAAGAGATAGCTTCTAATTTATTTAAGAAATAAATTAGAAACACAAAGAATTTTATATATATGAAATTAATATTTATTCTCATTAAAATAGAAAAAAAATCAAAGTCTATATTTTAAGCAGTTTGTGTTGAACATCATAAGTACATTTGACTTCTTTGTAAAGTTAAATAAGATGATAAAAAATTGAACATCATAAGTACATTTGACTTCTTTGTAAAGTTAAATAAGATGATAAAAAATTAACGAGCCTAGGAAAGATAATAGCATAAATAAAAAAATTAACGAGCCTAGGAAAGATAATAGCATAAAAAATACAAAATTAGCCTGATGTCACAATTGATGTAGAGGATGAAGACAATACTCTATAATTGTCCGAGAAATGATAAATGATAAACCTGAAGAAGGATTGATCTTAACTCAATTAAAAATAAAACAGAAGAAATAAAAACAATATTTTATGAATATTTTATAGAATAGTTTAATTATTTTGAGTGAAATTTGGAATCTTTAGAAGGGAGTTTCATGAATTTTTTCAGTACTTTTATATTCTTATGTGGATGTTTTTATCATATAAAAGTATACTAGAGTTAGTATTAATCTTTAATTTATATTTTTTTATGAAGTCTATCAATGATTAGGAATAAACTTCATATTCTCTTTTGCATCGTTTTAACATACTTTAAATCAATCATTTTGCCATATTGGTTTTAAATATTCACCTTCCTTGTATAACACTATTTTAATATTTTTTATTTTGCAATGCTATACTTTCTCAAATAAAGCTTAGGTTTATATCAGTTAAAAATAATATGAAAATTCAAATTATTTTTAAATTATATTTGTTTTTTGTCAATTCAAATATCAACATGAAAATTTAAATTGGGTATATCTCATTTAAACAAACATAAAAAAAATAATCGGGATGTAAGAGTTTAAAGAAAAAAATGAGCACAAACTGCC